GCTCGGCTGAGCTCGGCTCGGCTCTGCCCCGCCGCTCCTCCCCGGCCCTCGTCGGTTGGGCCGGTCCCGGCTCCTGGAGGCCTGCCCGCCTCGCGGGATCCGTGCGGTTTTTCTGCGAGAGCCCGCTCGCAGCCCCCTGTGCCCCGCCGCCCCCGCTGCGCCAGGCAGAGTTCGGCCGTGCGGCTCCCGGCCCTGCTGAGGGACCCCGGCGGCCGAGGGCAGGTCTGGCGAAGAGAAGGGGAAAACACTTGCGGATTCTTGATCAGGCTTCACGCTTTTGCTTGCTTGTCCGTTATTTTAAACGCTCGCAGCTGGTAATGGCGCATAAAAAGCGCAAGAAATGACAGAACTGATGAAATCGCTCTAGTTCCTCTGTCTTCTCACGAGTGACCCCAGGTGAAACAAGCTGCTCTGTTCGGCGTGCATGAGTAACGTGACAGGCAAACCGGAGCATCGACTTCTGTGGGCTCTAGAACTGCTGCTCGGAGTAGAAAACAATAATTAGCAGATAGGAGTGATTGCCATCCAGTTACAGCACTTCTTACTGTAACTTATTTTTAAATATTTGGGGCTGAGGCTTTTCACACAGTTTCAATCCCCCAAATAGTTTATTCCATCACTGTTTTATCACTATCAAATATTTATTGCTCTAATCATGGACGGATGCTTTTATCCAATTTGTTTTTTGACTGGGGGAAGGAATTTTTAGGGCTTGTGTGATGTCAGGTGTAGGTACAGGAGCATAAGAATTGCAGCAGCAGAACAGGCTAGCTTTCTGCCGTGCCTTTTATCTCCCTTTTCATGTTCTCATCTGTGCCATATGCATCCAAGCAAGGAAAGAAAGTGTATGCTTAAGCCAAGTCTGAGTAAAAACCTGCGTGGGATGTTTTTGAGTGTCAGGACCAATGGAAAATGGCATTCTTTTCTCATGTTTTAAGTTCATATATTGTGAGTAGTTAGCTAAGGATGACTGAATTTTGGGAAGTGAAGCATAAATTTTGTGTGTAGCCTTTATGAAGACTGATGTTAGCTATGTCTCAAATAGATCAGGTATAGCGAAGCTTTTTTTTTTTTTTTTTAATTCCCGTGTCATTACACATGGAAAAAAAAGGTATAACAATAAGTATCAACCTTGCGAAAAAACTGCAGTGCCAAAGCAGACACTTTCCATACTCGCTCCATCATTAGCCATGTAGTCTGTACTGCCAAAACAAGAAATATCAACTAGTTTCATACATTCCAATGAACAGTTTTCAGATGGTTATTAAGCTCAGTTAGCCTTAGTTGAAAGAATCTGCATATTATTGGTCATACAGATCACTCTTTAACGTACGACTTCTGACACACTGGTGTAGGAATGATAATATTTTTGAAGTTTTCTGTGAGAAATGACTTGGACCTGTTTTGTTATGCAGAAGACAAGATTGACCCTCCCTGGGAAGATAAATGCCTGCACTTTTATTGAAGTGAAAGGGTTTGATGCAGCCAGAGAACTTAGCCCATGCAAAAGCACCACAAAGTAATGACATCCTATATTCGTTAGGAGAAATGCTAGGTGAATTTAGGGAAATCTGAATTGACGGGGTCACTTTCTTTTATGCTCAGTGGTGGCTTTAATGCTTTTTAAAGAAAAAAATTTCATCGTAGACATGTTTGGGAGCAGATTTCATGCAGCAGAAGTTTAAGAGAACAACATTGCACACAAATACCATACAAAGACTGCACTGTTAGAACCACAGCTGAAACACAGTCATACAATAAGTTCTTACCACTTGCTTCATGACCAAAATCCTAGGACAACCAGGTCATTGGGACCTTGTGCCTTCTCCTATGCTCCAGTTTTCATGCCTGAGTTTGCCACATTCCCATCTTTGCAAGCTTGGGAATAGCCAGCAAAATCATCACTGAGAGCTATTGTGCAAGGGTATTGTCATAGAATTATAGAATGGTTTTGGCTGGAGGGGACCTTAAAGCATCTAGTTCCACCCCCCCTGCCATGGGCAGGGACACCTTCCACTAGACGAGGTTGCTCCAAGCCCCATCCAACCTGGCCCTGAACACTGCCAGGGATGGGGCAGCCACAACCTCTCTGGGGAACCTGCTCCAGTGCCTCACCAGCCTCACGGTGAAGAATTTCCTGTATGCTTTGGTGCCCAGATCAAGCAAACCAAGAAACACAGCTCTTGGGGCTGTGTCACAATCATTTCCTTTGGTAATAGCATGTGCACTGTCTGTGTTAGTGGAAAGGGAAAATGAAACTCAGGCATGCCAACAGAATGACAAAGAAAAATAGTAGTGGGGCTGGCTGCTGTCTTCAAGGTCTGAGTGACCCCCTTTATGTTTCATGGTTTATTGGAACATGTGAGAGGCTTTTATAAAAATAGGAACCTGCTTCAAAAATTGTTCATTGTAGTGCTTTACAGCAGGGGATGCGTGGGGATTATGTAGTAGAATACAAATGAAAATACAATTCAGCTTTGTTCAGTATCTATTGAAAAGCAAACAGGAACTTATTTATCTACCTGTAGTCTTCTTCAGTACTTTTTTTTTTTTTAGGCAGGTGGAGAAACTGTCACATTTTTCATTTCTGTCAATGTTAACTCATATTGTGTAGTCAAATGAGTAGCCACATCAACTTCAGTGGGATTGTGTGTATAAGTGCTGCTTATCATGACATACTGATGGAACTGACTTTCAACTGACGTTTAAGAAGTAATTATCCACTCAGGCCATAAAAAAGAAACTATTTTTAAAATGGAAAACTTTTTGTTGTGTATAAACATAAAGAATTAACTCTATTGATTAACCCAACTTTTAGAACAGCCTAATTAGAAAAGCTCCTGGTAAGGAAACATGGATTAATGACTGTGTTTATTGGGATGCAAATACAGTGAAAAAGAAATAAACACCAACTGTGAATTCAAGGTAAAAAGAAATTCAGTTTGTGAATTACAATCAACATTGTACAGCAACAGAACTGCTTAGCACAGAGAAAGGAAGGGAGGCCACAGGAGCTGCTGTTTTCTCCTGTTGATATAACATTATTAGTGTTGATGGCATTTCTCCAGCAAATATTTCACATAAATCATGTATCATCACTTGTGACAGCATGATGGCATAAAAGAATATTACTGTTGTCTGTGATCTACCTAAAGCTAACTGCTTGCATAGGTTTCATTAGTTTTCAACTGACAGGAAAAAAACTGATTAAAAACGTGGATTTATGTTCTGATATACACTTCTCAGATGGGGTTAAGACTTTTAAATCTTCTCCTTCTCTTCTGTCCTCACCCATTCCAGATCTCTGTAATGTCCTTTTTCTATTATTCTAATTTCTTCTATCTCTTCCCACATGTAGGGTTGTTTGACACATCTCTAATTCCATCCTTTCTATCTTTGTATTCCACCTGCTATGGATCCGTTGGTCTTTCCCTTTCCTTGTTGCTTCCAGATCTACTCTGTCTTCAAAGCTATATGATTTCAGGGGCTTTCTGTACCTGTTTAGGACTCTCACTATTGCATAGTTTCTTCAGTACTCTGATTTTTAACTCTTGTCTAACCCAGTGTTTCCAGACCTGTAGTCTTCATGGTTTTTCTTCCTTGTTTTCAAGGACAGGTTTCTAATGCTTTGATTTGAAAAAATCAGGAATGACCTACCCAGCCCATCCCTAGATTGATGCTCCAGGTGTCAGCTACTGCTGGTAGGTTCCTGTGCTTTGATTTCTCATAAGGGAGCCTCACTGCCCATTGCACGCAAAGATTGCTGACGTATGGAGTGCAGAAAGCAAAACCCGTCTGTTACTGAGGGCTAGCCTGCCCTCACAGAAGAACTTTTAAGACACAGTGACAGCTAAGCAGCACCAGGCAGTGGTGCGACAGAGCCTACGTACAACTACACGCCTGGGTGGCTCTCAAACTACTAGAAATGAGCATTTTGCTTTTCTTTGGCACCTGTCACTGCTGCACTACAGCAGTCCTGTCTGGCGGGCCAGAATCCATTCACCACGGTACGCTGCTGCGAGCATGTGTTGTCGATCGCAGCATTCCTAGCAGTTTTGTCTGCCAGTGTCAGCATCAGGCCTGCTGGTCTCCTCACAGGCTTTCAACTATTTTATTATAATTCCTCCTCACTTCCTGTTTGTTGCCTGCTATTTTTCTGCTGTTGCTGCTGTTTTTCCATTCTTTCCAGTCCTCCCAGTCTCACAGTCCAGCTGTCCCTCCCAGCTGCCATGGACCCTACCATCTCCCATATTCCACCCCTTCTGCTGCTGCAAGGGCATCACCCACAGCCTCATTCTCCCTCTGCAGGAAATAACTATCATTCCTGCTGTACTACACACCATGGCTATTGGAGGACATTAGTTAAATAACTAAATTGTCTTGAGACTGAGCACCATGTAAGGGTTACAGCATGATCGTATTTGTTCTGGGCAATCAACTTTATGTAATGGGAAACTCCATCCAAAGCCGGATCCTAGGAAAATGCTGGGTGAGACTATCAAATACATAATGTTACCCTTGTCTAGTGCAGCACTATGCAGAAACTTCACACTTCCATGAAATGATCCTCAAAATGGCAAGTTTGGCCCAGAAGTACTGTGGCTGGATGGTAATCTATCTGAGAAATCACTTTCCTTTTCTACTTATTACAAACTCTTTCAAATTCTTGGATTCACGTTCTTATTTCTGGAAACAAATCCATGACCCCAGATAATTAATTTGCTTTAACAGTCAACAGGAAAATGGAACTGCCATTTATTTTTCAGCTTGACTTTGTGTACAGACTTGGGCAATTA